AAAAAAAAAAAAAGAGACTCTTATTCATCATTTCTCCCCAGCAACAAACTGCTGATTCTCCACCATACACCTCATTTAATGTCAAATAGTCATATGTGGTTTTAATATAGTTAAAACTCTTAATATGTAACAACATATGTACTAATAATTTAGAAGTCTTTAGCCAGTGATGATAGTAGTACATGCATTAGAAATTAACAATTTCTTGCTTTAGCTAAACATTTAATTCTCTAATACGTTGGTTCCAACCAAAAATTCATGAAGGAATGACATAGTTTGAGACATAGGATACTTTTTAACAATGATCATACAGATCAATATTGGTATGTTTGCCAGAACACACAATTCCACTTGTAGGATTCAAATTTGGTTTGCAATACTAATTTGCCTACTTAATGATAACACCCATTCTCAAAACAAAGATATATAAATATATCTTTATCAGTAAATAGGCTTTTTAGAAAACAATATGAAAACTTTTAATGTACAAGGATAAGCTTGAGGAATGAAATAAAAATAAATGCTTGAACAATTCTAGACTTATTTGATTATAATTTCCTTGGCTAAGAATTTGTTTTTTAATATTTTGAATGACTATTTATGAATAACTAAAATACTCCCTATATATAACTAATATTTTTGATGCTCTATTTTATAATTAGTCTTTAATGTCTCTTATCTAGTCTTATATTTGTTCTAATATCTTTTACTGATTACAGATCTACAGCTTAGTGCAATAAAAATGTATATTACTAGAGCAAAAAAAATGATTTTAAAATGCTCTTTCCTAAACATGTGTATCTTTTTCTCATCCATACTACTGTTAGTGAAAATTTAGGTAATAGATTATCATCTTTAACTAAGTGCTAAATGCTTTGGTACTGAACATTAGCAATAGCTAGCTAATACAATATTAAATAACCAATGGAATATCACCTAGCTCATTCTATATTATATAAATGCATGTATTCGTTATTTTCCTGATGTTTCTGTGGAGCTCTTACAGTGGTAGAACTAGTGTGCTTCCTTGATAAAGTTTTCTTTAGAAAAAGTAAAAAGTAGGTGAAAAGTGACACATTAAAATATAATGATTCTGCTACGTAATTGTTAAGACTAGCTGAAAGTATAATTACTACTAACGTTATCAAGGGGAGAAAAATCCTACATCTGCCCCACATCTTGTTTCTAGCTTCAAAGAAGCAAATACCTCTTTATTTGCCTCATATTTGCATCAGCACATTACTTGAACCTCTGTTATAAACAGCAAGAGAAGTAGAAAACATTAGAAACACATATATTAAAAACTGTCACCAAAGATCATATAATTTTCATTTTTAGCAAATCAACATAAGACAGTTACTAATAGAAGTATTGTTTTTACAGATGGGCAATTACTGTCAATCTAAAATTTTCCATGATGACCAATTTTTATATACATAAATGTTCCCATTTTCCTGATAAAAATAATCTGTATAACTAAAATAGCGATGTCACACTAATTATTATAATCAAATTTCCAAGTCCAAAATGATTTAAGATCATCAAGCAAAAAAGAAATGTCATTGCTAAATACTGTCCTACCACTGTTTCAAAATTCTAATATTATTTGATGAGAAGTTTAACAGACTGCGTACATTTATTTGCAAAATTCATTGCCGAGATGAAGACTAAAAAAATCTAAAGGATGAAAAGTTTCAAAGTATAAATATTATCTTTCAACAGATAATAAAAAAATGTCACAAAGAAAGTCAATTGAAGACTTGGAGAAATGACAATACAATTTCACCAAAATACAAACACATTGTAAAACGTGTGCATGGGTAGACAACACTTTCAACCACCTTTGTAAGATAGATAAAATACTTAGAACCACTGTTATGAAGTATGCCGAAGATATTTTATAAAACACGCCCTCCGCCTTTAAGAGAACCAAATTATAACTCATAAAATCACAGCATTAAGGGTGGCCTCTTAATTCAATTTTCTTAAGTAGGAAATCATAGTACTTCAGTTCAATAAAGAAAAACTCTACATAGTAAAACTAAAAAACTTGAAGTTCTACAAGACACAAAATACACAATATAGCCTCATTTTTGTAGTTTTTTTTTTCTTACGCAAAATCACATGCAATATCAAGACCATAAATATTAAGCTGTCTGTAATAAAATCCTCTAATTGCAGACTGAGGGCTGGTGCTCTTTCCTCTGATTCTTCTGTTTCCAGGCTCCATCATAGAAAAGACAATAACTTTTCAAGTAAAAACAGTTATTTCTGACTTCAAATATCCATTTTATCAGCACATCCAGTTGTCCTCCATTACCACTTCTCCCAAATCGGTCATATTCCTTTTTGTTCCTTTCTACGTCCTTATTCTTAACCCTAAACCTTTCCCCCTAAACTAATGTACCTCATTTTCATGAGACAGCTTCTCCAGATTACCTATAATTCCACTGCCAAAGTTATCTTCTCTCCTTGACATTTTGCCTATGCCACCCACCTATTTCACCTAAGCTTTTCAAGGTCTTTGAGTTACATTTTTATTCTGCTCAAGAGCCTCATCCTCACAAACATATTCATTTATAACTTTGCCACTGACTTTCAACTCCCCTTTAAAATGCCAGTTTCTGGGGCACCTGGGTGGCTCAGTCGTTGGGCATCTGCCTTCCGCTCAGGTCCTGATCCCAGGGTCCTGGGATCCAGCCCTACATCGGGCTCCCTGCTCCGTGGGAGGCCTGCTCCTCCCTCTCCCACTCCCCTTGCTTGTGTTCCCTCTCTCGCTGTGTCTCTCTCTGTCAAATAAATAAATAAAATCTTAAATAAAATAAAATGCCAGTTTCTTCTTACCTTTGGTAAATGAACCAAATTCTCCCCTCAGGTAGTCAGTTATATTTGCTCCTAATCCATCCTGGAATGGAATTCCTTTTACATTTAGCCCCCAAATACACAGGTAATTTTATTTAAACAACTGTAGCGCAATAATTACATACATTGTTTCTTTAGTTGTTTGCATATCAATGTTATCCCTATTGGATTGTATGGATAAAGATAAGGGCTGTATCTATCAAAGCATTCTGTAAAGGCATTTACTGTGTTACCTGACCCAGGTAAGATGATTCACTAAATAAAACTATTAGGGAAAGCTTAAATGAACAAAATATACATATATATATATACATATACATATGTGTGTGTATATATATATACATATATATATATATATGAGTCTTTTTTAATCGCTATGGCTTCACTTTAAAACAGCTTTGACCTTTCGTTTCCATGGACAGCTGAAATACTTTGATTTCTATAAAGCTTCACTATTACTACTCTATTAATTTTCAAAACCGGCTGGAATTTAAAGTGCAAGTTGAAGGCTGATATGGGCTATACATTTTTACACCCCGCGATTAGAGTCTTTGAAAATCAGCAATGTCAACTTAAGAATTCTGATACAACTGAATATTCACACAAGGCAACAGTTTCATCACCAAAAGAAGAGAACAGCGTATCAAGGGTGGAGGGGGGGGAATGTTCCCTTCCCTGCAACTGGTTTAGACTAGTTTCTTTATCCCAGGGGCTTTTGATTAGGAAAATTCAATAAATCACCATTAACAACTGGAAAGCATACCAGGGCAAGGCAACCCTTTTACTTAAAAGAGAGGAAGGGGTGCCATGGGTATCTCCTTTTCATAAAACTCAGCAGCCAAATTAAGGTTAGCACTCAGTATCTACCGACAGAGATTTTTTTTCCTACCTAATAAAAGCAAGTCTCATTCAATTTAGTCCCTTCCCGAGCACCGTCTCAACCTGTCAGATTTGACAAGAGAAAAAAAATTAAGAAGTGAGGGGCGGGGGACGGGGGAGACACAAGGATTCCCGTCTACATCTCTTCTTTTTCCGAAATCACATCAGTGTGTCTTGGATTTCCTTCACTCCAAACTAAGCCCTCAGATTTCAAATACAGTTCTTTAACCCCCATCTCGCCAATGAATTACACGTAAACCTTGCCAATTACAGAACCACAGCAGAAACCCCTACAAATTGGCTTGCTATTCATCTCGGAAGTCATGCCCTGCAGCAACTGCCTATCGCCGAACTGAGGGATATTACCCAAATACAACGCAACGGAATCAGGCATGCAGAGCACACACAGCTTCTGCGAGAGAGGGAAACGAGACCCAGGAAAAGTGCGCTCCTCACTCACAAGCCTTGGGACCATCCGGAGAAGGGGGGGTTCCCAGAAGGGAGGAGGACAGAGGAGCCCAAGTCGGGGAATCCTACCTTCTCAAGTAAAAAGCCCAAGCCGCAGGATGCAACCCGTCCCTCTAAGAAAAGGAAGAGGAGAGCAGAAGCCCCTTTGCTCGGACAAGCGGAATGCAGACACTTTCCGAGGTCTGGGTGCCAGCGATCCCCCATCTCTCGGGAGAGACAAGGGGTGTCCCTTGGGTGACTGAGGGGATGCCCCGCTGGCGAGGGGCAGCCTAAGGCAGAGCAGAGTTTCGCCTGATATTCGCCCGTGTCGGGTCCGACCGGTGCCCAGGGCAAGCAAAGCTAGAGCGGCGCGGGGCCGCCGGCGTAGGGGGAGGGGAAGGAGGGGGTGGAAATGGGAATCCCCCTTCTCTGAGATGAGCATTAGCGAAGGAAGCGCGCCGGCCAGTCAGAGCGGCGTGCTTCTGGCTGCGGAGCCGGGATCCCGCCGCCTGCACCGGCAGCAAGGAGCCCCGCAGCGCCCGCCGCACGGCCCCTCAGTCCCCCGGGGCCAGGGACTTAGGCTGCGAAGGTACTGGGGCCTGACATCCCACGGGCCGGCTCCAGCTCCCGGGGGGCCCGCAGGAACACCCCAACCTCCGTCAGCTCTCAGTGGTTGTAAAACGCACCCCCCCGTCCCCCCTCCTCAGCCTTCCCTCCTCCCGAGACCGCAGAGAAGAGTCACCACAGGCGAGAAGCCTGAGATTAGTCGGGGACAGCGGACTCGGCGGTCCCGGACCTCCTTCCCCGGTTACCTGTGAGGACTCCGACACGGATTTGATGGTCGTGGTTAGTGAGGATCATTCCCTCGGTCGCCATGTTTCCCAGCGCAGTCACCGCACTGACAGGAGCCGGGAGAAGCCGGAGCCCGGAGCGCGCGGGCCGGGAGCGCGCTCGCCTCGGAGAGCGCGAGAGCGAGAGCGCCCGGGGAGCTCGCAGCGACCGGAGAAGGAGGGGGAGGCGGCCAGGCTTTCCGCGGCCTGCGCGGGGTAGAGGCCGGGCCGGGAGTGCGCGAGTCCGCTGAGTGGGGGGGCGGAGTCAGGGGGCGCGACCCCGAGTCCAGGTCGGAGGCGGCTAGCTGCGGGTGGGGGCCGCGGGGGGAGAGCGCGCGGAGGCGTCCGAGTGAGGCCGTTGAGACCCAGACCGCTCTGAGAAGCCCGAGACCCAGACCGGCTAGACAGCAGGAGAGTGAAGGGAAAGGAGTGCACACGCTCGGACGGTTGCGGGGGCGGACTCGGGGATAGGGGCGGAGCTACACCGCGAGGCGTGGAACTCGTGGAGAGTGAGGGGAGGTGTGAGAACCCGGTTGCGGAGTACTGGAAGCGGGAAGGAGGCGGCCCAGCCCGAAAAGAACCGGGGAATGCTCTTAGGCGCGCGAGTAGCGCGGGATTGGCTGGAGAACGCGGAGCGGGTGCCCGCGAGACAAGAACGCAGCCTCGACCGAGTCTCAGACAGAAGCAATCCCTTGCCGAGCCAGCGCCTCGTCGTTAGAGCCCTGGGGCAGCTCTCGGGGCCGCTGAGCCGCTCTCCCAAGGGGACGAGGAAAGGACTCCGCACGCGGGGCCTCTCCTCGAGCCCTGGGGCGCGACCAGCCGACCCTCTGAAAGCGCCAGGGCATCTGGAAGTGGCTTAGAAAGCTACATGGTGGCAGAACAGTGGCCGCTAAGACCGGGACCCCGCCGTGGGTGAAGGAGGAGTTATTCTGTCCCGCCTCACCTTCCCGCTTGCTTCCTCAGTCGGCTCGCCCTGCCGGAGGATATCCGCTTCCCCTGTGCTTTAGGATCCCATCTCCAAGTCGCTACCCACATAATGATCCTCACAGTCGAAGCAGAGCATCTTGAATGGGGATACCTGGCTTTTCTCCCTCCCGCTGCCCCCTGGTTTCGTGGCCTTACGCTTCATCACCACGGTCTCTGCTTTTAGATGAAAAGCACCAATCTTAGAGAACGAGTAGAACGTGTTCCTCTCCCCTGAACCACGATCGAAAAATTGGAAGTAGGAACTCAGGCCGTGACAATTGAGTTTCATTTCAGTATCTGTGAGACGTGAGATTACCCATGAAAATAGCTTTTGTTGCCACTTATTTTCATGTATCTTTCAAAAATGTGTTATTAATCACCTGTGGCTATTTCCCACCGGTTCCTTAGTTCCTTTCTTCCTAGTCCTTTCAACTTCTGAATTAAAAAATAATAATACACACAGATTTTTTTCCTTCTGTTCTCGGCCATGGTAAATCTGGGAAGCGTAAGAATGAAAAGCAAAATGTCAAACATGTATAATCATCGTTTGTACACACAATCTCAGTTAATTTGATGATTATGTTTTTTATTGTGCCATTGGAACATGGATCTGCCCTCTAACTTAAAATTCATGTCGTTATGTATTTCATTTTAAATAATGGGAGTACAGGGGCACCTGGGTGGTTCAGTCCTTAAGCGTCTGCCTTCGGCTCAGGTCATGATCCCAGAGTCCTGGGAACGAGCCCCCCATCGGGCTCCCTGCTCCGCGGGGAGTCTGCTTCTCCCTCCCCCACTCCCCCTGCTTGTGTTCCCTCTCTCGCTGTCTCTCTCAATGTCAAATAAATAAATTAATAATAATAATGGGAGTACAAAGGAGATGATGGATGAAATTGAGGTGGGATTTAAAAAAAAATAGTAAAATTTCTTTTGAGTATGTGTATTGCTAGAATTTTTGACAATAGATTAAAAAATTGAAGCCAGATCATAAAGCCATTTCCTTTAATAATCTATCACCATAGAGCCTGGTGACCAACAGATTCTTAACTAGTTTCATATGAGAGGGATATATATATGTGAAAGTATGTCCAAGAAAATGGTTTATCTCAAACTAAAGATGAAGAGCAAATAGTTGGTTACATTACTACCTTTTCAATCTATTACCTACAGCACCCTCAAATTGAAATGTTTTTTAAATGCCTTGAAGTTTTAGAGAGATAAATTCTAAACCTGGCTACTAATAGGTTCTATAACCTTAAACTAAGTTGGGGTTTTTTAAGGTTGCAGACTAAATAAGCACCCTTTAAGTAAAGTGGTTGTCTAAATAAGCACCCTCTCAACTTAGAATATTCTATAATTATTCATGGAAAGAAACTGGTATTTTTGTTTCACAATAAATAACAGAAAACGAGGGACTTTAGACAAACCATAAGAGACTCTTAACTACAGGAAACAAACTGAGGGTTGCTGGAGGGGAGGCCCGTGGGAGGATGGGGTAACTGGGTGATGGAGGGCGAGGAGGGCACTTGATGTAATGAGCACAGGGTGTTATATGCAACTGATGAGTCACTAAATTACCTCTGAAACTAATAATACACTATATGTTAATTAAATTGAGTTTAAATTTTTAAAAAGGTAAAAAATAAAATTTTAAATAAAACAAGGGACTTTCTATGTAAAAGTAATAATGGTGAAATTTAATTGGGAAAGGTGAGAATTAACCCTAAAGTATATGGAGGTTTGTTTGCTAAAACTACTAAAATTGCTGAAAAAAGTAATTACTAGAACTAAGCTGAACAACTATTAATATGTGCTTGTTTTCCAACAATTTTCCTCAAGTGTATTCATCTCTATTGAATTTAGCAAACTGTAACAAAATTTGCCCAAGAAAAACTCAGTGACCTTACTGTCTATTATGACTTTTCTTTTACTGCTGGTTATTGAGTAAATATTGCAGTATGCACATGTTTTTTTCCTTCTGTTTTATAGTATGAATTTTCTTCAAAATTCATCCTGGAATCAAACATTATAATAGAAAAATTTTCAAACCAAGGTAAGAAGAGAGTAGCATTCCTGAATATTGACAGATGTCTCAAGACTATACTGAGGGAAAGGGAAAACAAGAAATGAAAAAGAGTTTGTATGTAAAGAATTAGCAATGCCCAGGGTTTCACTCTCTCTATTCTTAAGGTTTTAATGAAAACTACAGGAGTTTACATTAACTAAAAATTAATGCAAAAGATAGGTAAACATCTGGCTTTCATAATGATTTTCATTATGAAGATGAAAGTTTATCAGTAGAAATGAATTAGTGTAAAGGTTGAAATTTTTCTAATAATAGCATGTTTACACTTAGCCCTCCTGGTACTTTAGTTTTCCTGTGGTTAATTACAATTTCAGTATAAGGTAAAAGCTTACTGGCTTTTCTGGGGTCAGACTCTCCTCATTAACACTGGATGTGAGCAAGAACAAATTTGGCAATAAATTATTCTTCCTCTAAGGCTTATTCCATTCTTGCCTCTTTCCTGATAGGCTAGCAGCCACAATTAAAACTGAGTCGGGGCGCCTGGGTGGCTCAGTTGGTTAAGCGACTGCCTTCGGCTCAGGTCATGGTCCTGGAGTCCTGGGATCGAGTCCCGCATCGGGCTCCCTGCTCCGCGGGGAGTCTGCTTCTCCCTCTGACCCTCCTCCCTCTCATGCTCTCTGTCTCTCATTCTCTCTCTCTCAAATAAATAAAAAAAATCTTTTAAAAAAAAAAAACTGAGTCAATTAAAAATGACTTTGAATATATTTAATGCCATTGAATGGTTAAAATAGTAAATTTTGTTATGTGTATTCAGCACAACAACAAAAATGGGTGCAAGGTGAAACTGTGGTTGATTTTAACCTATTATTTTCCCCAAGGGAAGCTTGATTATACTCAAGATGAATTTTAGATTGGCTGAGTTAGGCAATGTATTAGTCCCTAGGGCTGCCATAACTATCACAACTGGGTGCCTTAAAACAACAGAAATTTATTCTCTCAAAGTTCTGGAGCCCAGAAGTCCAAAATTAAGCTGTCAGCAAAGCCATGCTCCCTCTGAAGGATCTAAGAATCCTCTGAAGAGGATTCTTCCCTGCCTCTTTCTAGCTTCTAGTGGTTACTGACAATCCTTAGCATTCCATGGCTTGTAGCTGCATCACTCCAATCTTTGCCTCCATCACCACATGGCCTTCTTGTCTATATGTATTTTCACTTGCACTTCTTATAAGGATATCAGTCACTCGAGTTAGGGCCCACTATAATCCAGTATGATCCAAGTTTAACAAATTATATCTACAAAGACCCTATTTCCAAATAAGTAACATTCTGAGATTCTGAGTGAATATGAAATTTGGGAGCAGTGGGGGAAGACACTATTCAAGCCAGTACAGGCAATGACAAAGGTTCAAAGATTTCTTTAAAAGCTGGGATTTAGAAATTAGATACATGCTTTTTTTTAAATTTTATTATGTTAATCACCATACATTACATCATTAGTTTTTGATGTAGTGTTCCATGATTCATTGTTTGCGTGTAACACCCAGTGCTCCATTCAATACGTGCCCTCTTTAATACCCATCACCAGGCTAACCCATCCCCCCGCCCCCTCACCTCTAGAACCCTCAGTTTGTTTCTTAGAGTCCATAGTCTCTCATGGTTCGTCTCCCCCTCCGATTTCCCCCCCTTCATTTTTCCCTTCCTACTATCTTCTTCTTTTTTTTTTTTAAACATATAATGTATTATTTGTTTCAGAGGTACAGGTAGACACATGCTTAGAGAAAACACAGCTCTATAGTAGAGAATACTGGGGAAGTTTTTAATATTTGAACTAAATGGCCTAATGCTTTTCCCCACAAAAGCAGTTTCCGAAATTAGAATTTTTCAAAGTCTGGCAAGATAAATTTATACATTCCTACTAATGAAATTGACATTTTGCTGTTAGTTTTGATGCCTTTGTTGTCTTTTAATGAAGCTGAGCCACCACAGTTGTCCACAGAATTTGATGGCACTTATTTGAGAATAATTAGGACAATGTTTTCCAATGTCTGCCATGTTTATAAAAATAAATTCTAACTTTTCCTTGGGCTTTTGATATTATATTTTTGCTGCCCAGATTTCTGCTTGAATAATTTTGTGCCCTGGTCCTTTGTATTTTTCTCACCCTTGCTCTCTTCCTCTGAGGTCCCCAGCTGGAAATCCAGATGTATGAGAACATTTTGGTTACAAGTGACTGATCCTAGCTTACACCAAAAGGCTCATGCAGCTATGAATTCCAGACATGTATATAGGCTTCAGGGTTGGCTAGATTCAGGATCTGAAACCATGTCATCAAAATCTTTCAGCTATGCTTTCTCCTTTGTTGTCTTACTTCTCATATTGATTCTCCCTACCTGGTGGCAAAGTTGGTATTGTTTTCTCTAAGCAATAATTTAGATCAGTAGTTTTCAAGCTTGTCTGGGGATACCTGGAGACCCCAAGACCCTTTCTTGAGGGTCTTCAAGGTCAGAAATATTTTCATACTAATACTAAGGCATTATTTGTCTTTCCACTCTCATTTCCTCATTAGATATGGTGGAATTT